ATATCTAGAAAAATGAGTACTTTCCAAGAAGTCATTGAAGATTCATTGATGAATGACATTTGGTTCAACTATTTTGCCATCTTGTAATAGGGGCCTATCTTACTGATAGTGTTGAAAACTCAGTAGAACCTGGTGATAAAGAAATTTTCAAATTCTTAAGTTTGCAAAATATAGTACCTAATTTCTGCTGTAACATTTAGGAAAATATTACTGAGGAATATAATCCATCTTCCCCAACTCTAGCTTTTTAATTATCTTATAAACACACTGAAACCGCACTGGTGGAAGTTGGTGAAAAGGTTAATCAGTGATGGGAAAATTTACATAGGAAGTACATGACTTTCTAGAAAGGATTCACCAGCAACTCAGAACTTGTATAAACTATTTTTTTACAAAAATAAAATTCATGTGATGAAAAAGTTGCTCTAGCTAATACTATCAATGGATCATTTTTCCATATATATGAACTCATGTTTTAAATCTAAGCCAACATGGACTGCTACATTACACTTTCTGATTTATTCATAAATTCTATTTTCATGCTAAGATTGATCACTTAATTGAATTTTCTATTTGATCTGTTTACTACTGGCACCAGCCTCTAGATTTATTTCTGAGGTCATTGTTCACACACAAAAAAGAAAGTTTATATTTTCCTAGAGTTACCATACACATGAGATTCATGGAGAACAGAAGCCTAGCAAGAAGGAGACGTTGATTGGTTACCTAGGCACAGCCACTAAGTGGTTTTGAAAATAGTTTTGGGGGCCGGCGCTGTGGCTTCTACCGGCGCTCTGCTGCAGGGAGCCAGATCAGGAGTGGAACAGTTGGGATTTGAACTGGTGCCCATATAGGATATATTGTAGAAGGTGGATAAGGGGGATTCTCACAGAAACTGTGACATAACATGATGTAGTGGTTTTCAAAGAGTATCAATAGGCACCTTTTTCCTATAACCCGAAGCCTTGGATAACTTTGACTTTCTCCATTTTTTCCTGAGGGAGCTGAGCAAGACTCAACCATGCATCAGAAAGGTTCAAATGTTTAAATGCATAGAAATTTAAGGAGAAAAAAGGAGGAAAAGAATAGGGGAGCAAGTGGTTGGAAGTGCAGGAAAAAGAAGGGTAGGTATTCCCAAGAGAAATTTAAACGTAAGCACCGGCAAAGTGAGTGACTTTCTCCTACTTTGTATCCATAGCATGTAGAATAGGCCCCGACATTTAATGTGGATTCAGCAAATATTTGTTGAGCAAATCATGGGTGGGATTGTTGGTGTTACTCAGCTGTGGATATTTAGTGTAATGCTGGTGGAGCCATATACCCTGAAGGGTCTCCTTTCAAAAAAAAAAAATATCCATTTAGTTGCAGGAGTGTAGTTAACTGGCAGCCTCCAGTTGGTAGCATCTTAGGATCTGTCTCAGCTTTTAAGCTGAAGCCATCCTCACGCCAGGCAGCCACCAGCAATATCTGAACCTAGAGAAGTACCTGGCCATTTCTGCCCAGGTGGTCTTCTCTAAGGGACCTCCTTTGCTTTGAAGGTCACTGCTGGGTTCCCTGGGATGGTCAGTTTGCAACATGGTCTGAGGCTCTTCCTGCCCAGTTCTGCTTCCTCTCTCTTTCTCAAAGATCCCTCCTCTCAATAAACTTCTTCCTCCTTCCTCCTTCCTCCTTCCTCCTCCTCCTTTTGACAGGCAAAGTGGACAGTGAGAGAGAGAGACACAGAGAGAAAGGTCTTCCTTTTCTGTTGGTTCACCCCCCAGTGGCTGCTGCGGCCGGCGCTGCGCTGATCCGAAGCCAGGAGCCAGGTGCTTCTCCTGGTCTCCCATTGAGCCACGGCGCCGGCCTCAATAAACTTCTTATGCTTCTATTTACTGTTTGTTTGTTGAGGACTCAAATGATCCAATTTGTGACAGTTTCACTCGAAGCCCCATAATCACCTTGGTGCAGAACAAACTGCTAAGTTTGTGGACCACGTCTTTGGGGCAGTGTTATTTGAAATGTGGTTTATGAATCAGTGTCAGTCTGTGAACTATTTGTTATCTCTCCACAATAAGATGAGTGCAGAAATTGATATCACTTAGAAGCTTTCCTTACCATTCCATATAGCTGTAAAAATGGAGACTGGTAAGTGAATTGGTCTTCTGGCATGGGACTAGTTTGGATGCTGTTGACTTCATACGGTGAGTCCATATGTGTACCAGTTATGTGCATGTAACAATTTGTGATATTTTAACATTGACTTGGTAATTGTGACCCTATCATTGTATAAAATGTTATATTAATTTCTTATCAAAATATAATTTAAATGTAATGAAAACATTAAAATATAGATTATTACAACTGGCAACTGATGAAAGCTTGAAGTTGAATTTGAAAACACAGCCATCTTTTGTTTCATATAAAAGTTAACAATGAGTATCCTTAGTTTGCTGGGTTTCAAAATCTTCCCATCTATTCCCATCAATGTAATTATGTAAGACTCATTTCTATAATACAATGTAAAAATAGATGAGCTATTTAAATTATACCTAATCCTTGGCAATTTTTGCAAGAAGCTCTTAAATCCAATCATAGAACAATCACCTCGGGCCAATGCTGTGGCGCAGTGGGTTAACGCCCTGGCCTGCAGTGCCAGCATCCCATATGGGCACCGGTTCGAGACCTGGTTGCTCCACTTCCGATCCAGCTCCCTGCTCTGGCCTGGGAAAGCAGTAGAAGATGGCCCAAGTCCTTGGGCCCCTGCACCCACATGGGAGACCAGGAAGAAGCTACTGGCTCCTGGCTTCAGATCAGCACAACTCCACCACTGCGGCCAACTGGGGAGTGAACCATCAGATGGAAGACCTCTCTCTCTCTCTCTCTGCCTCTCCTTCTCTCTCTGCGTAATTGTGTAACTCTGACTTTCAAATAAATAAATAAATAAATCTTTTTTTAAAAGATCACCTCATTTATCATGTTAAAAACTTTGAATATTAACATACATGGTGTTTGTTTAGACTGTTTTTTAAGAGGGATTGATTAAAATCAATATTGTGCAGTGGTTTAGGCCACCGTGCGTGACACCAGCATCCTGAATCAGAGTACCAGTTGAAGTCCAGGCTGTTTCGCTTCCGATCTAGCTTCCTGCTGATGAACACCTTGGGAATGCAGCAGGTGATTGCCTAAATACCTGGGTCCCTGCCACACATGTGGGGGACCTGGATGCAGTTCCTGGCTCCTGGCTTTGGCCTAGCAGTTGTGGACATCTGGGGAGTGAATCAGCAAATGGAAGAGCTCACTGTCTCTGGCTTTTCACTTCTATCACTATGCTTTCCAGAAAGAAAAGAAATATTTTCTTAAAGATTTATTTATTAATTTGGAAGGCAGACTTACAGAGAGGCAGAGGCAGAGTGAGGTCTTCCATCCACTGGTTCACTCCCAAGATGGCCACAATGGTCGGAGCTGCGCTGATCCAAAGCCAGGAGCCAGGAGCTTCTTCTGGGTCTCTCACATGGGTGCAGGAGCCCAAGGACTTGGGCCGTCTTCTACTGCTTTCCCAGGCCATAGCAGAGAGCTGGACCAGAAGTGGAGCTGCTAGGACTCAAACCAGTGCCCATATGGGATGCCAGCACTGCAGGTGGCAGCTTTACCTGCTATGCCACAGCTCTGGCCTCATTTTTTTAAAAGTATTTTTATAGGCATTTAAAAAAGATTTATTTATTTGAAAGAGGTAGAGAAACTGAGAGAAAGAGAGAGAGAGAGAGAGAGAGATTTTCATTCACCCTAGGATGGCCTCAACAGGCCAGGGCTGGGCTAGGTAGAAGCCAGGAGCCAGGAGCTTCATCTGGGCCTCTCAGGTGGGAGGCAGGGTCCTAAACACGTGGGCCATCTTTTGCTGCTTTCCCAGGCCATTAGCGGATAGTTGTATCAGAAATGGAGCAACCAGGACATAACTGTTGCCCATGTGGAATGCTGGCTTTGCAGGCAGTGGCTTAGTCTGCCAGGGCACAAGCTAGCCCCATTAATGTATGTTATCACCATATCATGCCTAATTGTTAAATTAGGACTGTGGACCGAAAAAAAACTGAGTGTAAGCAACACTCTTTTAAAATATTTTTTTTATTTTTACTTTTTGACAAGCAGAGTTAGTGAAAGACAGAGAGAGTTATAGACAGTGAGAGAGAGAGAGAGAAAAGTCTTCCTTCTGTTGGTTCACTCCCTTAATGGCCGCCACGGCCGGCGCTGCGCTGATCTGAAGCCAGGAGCCAGGAGCTTCTTTCAGGTCTCACACTCGATGCAGGGGCTCAAAGACTTGGGCCATCTTCTACTGCTATCCCAGGCCATAGCAGAGAGCTGGATCAGAAGTGTAGCAACCAAGCTAGAACCAGTGCCCAGATGGGAAATGCGCGCCCCAGGCAGAGGATTAACCTACTGCGCCACAGCGCCGGCCCCTCTACTAATTCATTTTTACTGTTTTTTACTAAAGGATCTCTTAACAATGGATTGGAAAAGTAGCCCATTTTCACTACAGATAATTTGGGAAGCTGTTCTAGAAGGCTGAGAGTTGTAGTTAAGAACCTGGTCCCTGGAACTTCAGCAAGGGTTAAAATTCCTAAAAAAATTTTGGTGGCTTTTTTTCTGTTTAAATACGCTCAGGGGTGCGAGTTTCGCCCGACAGAAATCGAGCCAAAGCGGGCTGGCGTGCTCTCCCACCCTTCCAATCCAATCTCCCGACTCAGGACCCCTTAGGCCATTGCGAGCCCCCGGAAAGGGCGGGGCGAAGGGGCGGGGCGAGCAGCGTGAGGCCATTGGAGAGCGACGCTCGAGATTTAGGCCTGGTCGTCGCGTTGTGACGCCATCATCGCGCGACAGCTCTCCAGGAGGCGAGGAGTCGGAGGCTTTGAGGTACTGTTGAAAACTTGGTTGAGTTTTTCTTATGTTCTTTTCAAAAATCAGCTTCTGCTGTCTTGGGATTCCCTCTCTACGCTCCGGTAGGTCTAGGCGGAGCGCGGTAGGGCTCCTCATTCTGATGTTGGGGTCAGGGTCGTGGCAAGACGTGGCTTGGTTGTCTTGTGGTTGCTTGCCGGTTTTGGCTTACCTCGGCCCCTCGTTCCTCACTCTTTACCCAGTCTCTCTCTTTTTCTTTGGCTGTTGACTCTCCTCTTAAACATTGGAAGGCGAAGAAATTAACAACAACAACAAAAAATAACGACTTCGCAATTGATTCTCAGCTGCCTTCAAACCGTGTTTAAGGAGAAAGGCCCGAGTGGAAGGTGGAGGGGAATAGACTTCACGTGTTAGCCCCTGGTCTTTCACTTCCAGGATCACAGACGCCTGTCGCTGCGTTACTAGCCCATCTGAGACAGTGGCTGATTTTGACCTTCTGGTGAACTCTAGTTGTTAAGCTCAAGAGCGGGTTTTTTTTTTCTAATGGTCCAGGAAAGTTTAATGTGAATCAAACTTCTGTTCGAAACTAGCTTTATTGCCTTCATAGTTGTTGACTGCAATTTAATTTTGGCGCGATAAAGCTGTTCTTTGTCCCTAGATGTTTGCGGTGCGCTTATTAAACTGTTTGAACTGTATGATAGTAGGCGGAACTAAGACTAAACCCTATATTTTCTTTTTTGAAAATAGCAAATAACCCCTGCTGAAGTTCAGAGAACTGTTTGTGAGGGGCAGAAATGATAGAACTAATGTTTTTAAGTGTTTCTAATTTTTTTTAAAGATTTATTTATTTGAAAGAGTTACACAGAGAGAGGAGAGGCAGAGAGAGAAAGAGAGATGTCTTCCATCCGCTGGTTCACTCCCTGATTGGCTGCAACGGCCGGAGCTGCCCCGATCCAGAGCCAGGAGCTTTTTCCGGGTCTCCCATGTGGTGCAGGGGCCCAAGGACTTGGGCCATCTTCCACTGCTTTCCCAGGCCACAGCAGAGAGCTGGATTGGAAATGGAGCAACCGGGTCTGGAAGCAGCGTGCATATGGGATGCCGGCGCTTCAGGCCAGGGCAGTAACCCGCTGTGCCACAGCGCCGGCCTCTCTAATTTATTTTCATTTTATTTGAAAGACACAGAGACAGTGAGGTTTTCTACCCACTGGTTCAATCCCAAAATGTCCACAGCAGCCAGAGCTGGGCCAGGAACTTCATTCTGGCTTCCCGTGTGGATGTCAGGAACTGAAATGCTTGAGCCATCATCTGCTGCTTCACAGACGTTCATTAGCAGGAAGCTGGATTAGGAAGGAAGTAGCTGGAACTCAAAACTAGGCACTGTGATCTGGAATGGGATGTGGGCATCCCAGGTGGAGACTTAGGCTGCTGAACTGAATCTTCCAGGACTTATTGGTTTGTTGGAAGATAAAATTAAGCCAAAGTGTGACAGTGGTTTTTCAAAATAAAACAGAATTCTCTGAATCAAAAGATGTTATAGCTGCCTTTGAAGAGCCATGTTTGTATCACTCTTTAGAGGTGATATGATTTTTCTTGTATCTGTGTTTAAGTTTTCAAATGGCTCTTCATAGGTGTTATCTCAGCCAATGTTTCCGAACAGTTGACCCTTCAAGTATGGCTCCGAGTAGTTCATATTGGATTAGGGTGTTTGATAACTTTCACTTTAGTAACATACTAACTAAAATATTACCGATGGTCCTCAACTTATGATAGTTTGATTTAGGATTTTTGACTTTATGAAGCTGGGAAGGAGGTATACATTCAGTAGAAACTATTCAGATTTTGAATTTTGTACTGTTCCAGGCCTTACTATAATTCATACAATTCTCTTTATCAGTGCCCAACTGTAAGCTAATGTAAGTTTTCTGAGCACATTTAAGGTCACACTGCGATATATAGTTATTTAAGTGTTTAAATGCAATTTCAGCTTTTGATGTTTTCGACTTCACGATGGTTTTATGGGGATGTGACCCCATTATAAGTCAAGGAGTGTACTAGCTAATGTATTTGAGTAATTGAGTCAGTCACTGTTGCTTTACTTACGTTATTCATTTAATGTGCCCAGCAGCCCTATGTAGTGTTTTTATTATTTTAGAGATGAGATAATTGTAATAAACAAATTCCAAGTATTTTGAAAGGTAATTTTTATTGCTTCATGTCTATAATTTTGAAAATGCTTTGAATTAAACATTGAAGTATTTGATTCTAATTACTGATTGCTATCTAGAGCAACCTGGTAGCATATATTTTTCTATTACTAGACTGTGGGATAGGCTTTTTTTTGTAAAGGTTAGTACCTTTTTTTTTTTAATTTTTATTTATTTGAAAGAGTTACAGAAAGAGAGAGAAAGTAAGAGAGAGAGAGAGAGATCTTCCATCTGCTGGTTCATTCTCCAGATGGCCTCAATGGCTGGGGCTGGGCCAAGGTGAAGCCAGGAGCTTCAGCTGGGTCTTCCATGTGGGTGGCAGGGGCCCAAGTACTTGGGCCATCTTCCATTGCTTTTCGCAGGCCACTAGCAGGGAGCTAGATTGGAACTGGAGCCATTCAAATTTGAACCAGTGCCCAGATGGGATGCTGGTATCACAGGCAGAAGCTTTACCTGCTATACCTCAGCTCTGGCCCTGAAGGTTAGTAACTTTATTCCAAAAGGACTAGCCTATATTTTCTTAGGGATTTTATTGTAAAATTGAAGGGGAATTACAAATGACACTTATTGTAGACTGTTTGCCCATAGTAGCAATATTTGTTGAGAACTTGTGTGTGCATTTCACTGTTATTTTCTAAGATAGTGCAGTGCAAAAGAGTCATTATAACAATAGAATTCTGGTGCAACATCTACAAATGGCTTTCTGGTTCCAGGAAACAAGTATATGTTGAATTTGGTCTCTGGCTTAGTTCATAATTGTGTATCTGCATTTGGAATAGAGGTGGAAACAGCCTCATGATATACATTATCATGTAAGTTTTCTGTTGATCCATGTAGTGACTGCCTAATATTCCTAAGTCCAAACTGTAATTTGATATGAAGATTCTCCAAAATGTTGTCTCAGTTTACTTTGATTGGTTTTAGTCAGTTAACAGATGCTAAGTACTGAAATGTGGCAAGACATTTTGTTAGTGGTATGGATGGAGGTAGTGTGTGAATCCTGCCTTGAAGAAATAGTCTAACGGAAAGTTCTGAGCAAAGCAGTGACACAATCTGACCTAAGTTAAAAAAATTTAAAAAAATTCTTTGAGAGACAGAGCAAGACAGCTCTCATCCACTGGTTTTCTCCCCAAATGCCTGCAAAGCTTAGGGGTGGGTTGGGGACTTAGGAGCGACTGAAGCCAGGAGTCAGGAGCTCAGTCCAGGTCTCCCACATGGACCCACCTACTTGAGCCATCACTTCTACCTCCCAGGGTCCACATTAACAGTAATACTGGAATCAGGAACTGGGTATCTAACCTAGGCACTAGGATTCTCCACCTGCATTATTGACTGTTTACTGAGCTCCGTTACGAAGAGTGGTTTCTTAAGGAAGCATTTGTTTTCCCTCAGATTTGGTCTTGTTCACTAGTTTATAGTCTGCCAGCACCATGTGTTTCTCCATATCACTGTTAGAGTTTTTTGTTTCTGTGCTTGTTTTATAATTTCTATTATCTGCACTAGACTATAAGCCTGGTGCAGGCAAGTTTTTGCACACCATTATATGCCAAGCATCAGGGCAGCATGGCATAGAAAGAAGCTAAATAAATAAATAAATATCTGTTGCATAAATGAGTCCTTGGTGTCTGAGATGTGGGAAATGCTCAGTTACTCATTCACATGGCATTGTGCCAATGTGCTGAGAAGGGAGTCAGGGATAACTAAAGGAATTGTTCAGAATCTGAGACAGGATCCAGTTGAGATTGGGTGGCCAGCCAAGAGAGTAAAAGACATGATTTATTGTATACATTTCTCTCAACCACAGTTGAGAACAGAACTAGTCTGGTGTGTTACAGGTCCTGGGCAAAGGACCAGGGGCTGGTTTGTTATGAGTAAATTGGTCTCAGAAGTGGCATTGGTGAGGGATGGTGTTGGAAGAATCTCATGAGAATTTCTAGACAGTAGCATGCAGACCCAACAACTTGGGCCAGCATCTCTGGTCTCTGGCATTCCTAATTTGTACTCCTTTGGCCTCCATGGGTATGTAGGCTAGCTGTTTACTTCAACCTCTGCCTCGTTTTTCTTCATTTGCACTTCAGCTGTGCATTTGCTTCTTGCTCCACCTGCATCTCATGGCACAGAGGTTTCCAAGATGACTGTGCTAAGGGTGACAACTGTGAATTTCTTTAGGAATGTTCATTAGGCCTAGAGCTAGAATGGTTACCCAGGGATTGGCTAGCAGGAGAGGGGAACATACAGCCTGCGGGCTGTTTAAGGCCTGCCGAGTCATTTGGTCTGCCGCTGCCAAGGCATCCACAGGCAGGCCTTGAATAAATGTATAAACCAAATAAAGAATATAGGTTTGATTATAGCTGCTAAGTAGGGGGGGAATGATAAAATTTTGTCTGGCATATTTGAGAGTAAAGTAAGTTTCAAAATTTGAGATAATTGACATTTTTATTTATAAACTTAAGTATTATGTTGCATATATTGTTTAAAAATCAAAATTCAAAGAGTGTAATATAAAATTTTCTCCCTCAGTTTCCTGGTTACCCACAGTTATCCAGTTATCTTCACCCATTTTTCTTCTGGGTTGTATGTGTTTTTGTTGTTAAGTGGATTTGTGGAGGGTCTCTATCTGTCTCTCTGTTGCAGATATCTTTGCCTATTTTTCATTTGGCTTAAAAATTGCTGTGTTTATTTTCACATGCATACATTTTTCTTTTGTATCCTTTAAGGTAACTTGCATGCATATACAAAGTAAACTTCCACACTCAATATATCTTTTTTCCTTAGAAACAAATAGTTATAGTACACATATTGTATTTCAGCCTTTTTCACTTAATACATTTTAGGACTCTTTCTAAGCTTTATTTGCTACTTTTTCACTACTACAGAGTATTTTTTGAGAGATATTTATATGTGGGAGATGTTGAGATTATATATATATATGTGTGTGTGTGTATATATAATTTATTTAGCCAGTTTCTATTAATAAGCATGCAGGTTGTTCCCTGTTTTAAAGTTTCATTGTTTTGAAGTGTGTTCTTGAACATTATCTTTTTTTTTTTTTTTTGACAGGCAGAGTGGACAGTGAGAGAGACAGAGACAGAAAGGTCTTCCTTTGCCGTTGGTTCACCCTCCAATGGCTGCCGCGGCCGGCGCACCGCGCTGATCTGATGGCAGGAGCCAGGTACTTCTCCTGGTCTCCCGTGGGGTGCAGGGCCCAAGTACTTGGGCCATCCTCCACTGCACTCCCTGGCCACAGCAGAGAGCTGGCCTGGAAGAGGGGCAACTGGGAGAGTCCGGTGCCCTGACCGGGACTAGAACCCGGTGTGCCGGCGCCGCAAGGCGGACGATTAGCCTAGTGAGCCACGGCACCGGCAGGTCTTCCGTTTTCCGTTGGTTCACCCTCCAAGTGGCCGCTATGGGCCCGGTGTGCTGCACTGATCCGAAGCCAGGAGCCAGGTGCTTCTTCCTGGTCTCCTATGTGGGTACAGGGCCCAAGGACTTGGGCCATCCTCCTCTGCACTCCCGGGCCACAGCAGAGCTGTACTGGAAGAGGAGCAACAGGGACAGAATCTGGCGCCCCGACCGGGACTAGAACCCGGGGTGCTGGCGCCGCAGGTGGAGGATTAGCCTAGTGAGCTGTGGCTCCTGCCCTATTGCAGATTTTTAAGCAGGAAAGTGTCATGACCAGACTATTTTTGTAGAAAAATCATATTTTATAATAGTTCAAGTTGGGAATGGAGAAAAATTGGTGATAAGGAGACTACTCAAAGGCTGTTGAAAATGCAGTCCGTGAGAATGGATGAAGAAAAGAAGCCATGCCACAATGCTGTGGTGTAAGGAGATTAGGAAAGCTATGTTGACAGGACTGATTGTATCTGGGGCTGTGGAAGGAGCCAAGGGTGGCTCAAGTTTCTAGCTGATCGAGAAGTAGAGAATCAAGGCTGGGAGATAGTTGATGACTTCAGTTCTAGATGTGATGCTGCATGTCCTTGTTTTTCTCCTGTCAGTTCTTTAGCTGCCAAAACCAGTGAGAAGAGGGATGGAGGAGTGGCAATAACAGCCTGTTTGGATACTGGGCACCATGCCCCCACTCCTAATCTCAACCAGCACTTCCAGGGCAGGAAGGAGAACAGGTTTCTCATGCCCTCTCCCCTCGCTCCACTTCTGTGACTGGCTTTAGAGGGAGTAGGTGGCATGGTGAGGAGGATTTATGGGAGGGACATTAGGAGCAGGAATGGGACTACTTTTCTTCTTTCTCTTTATCTGTGCAACCTTAGGCAAATTATTGAACCTTACTATGGCTCAGTTTCTTCATAAGTGAGGATTAGGTCAGTTAATGTGTGAAGCACTTAGAATAATTAGTGTCTGACACATGTGAGTGGTTTGCTGTTGCAGCTGATTCCGAAGAGTCACTGCTTGATCAGAGTAGCAGAGGGGCACAGGAAAGCTTCTGGACTTTTGTTTTGGAAGGAACAAATGCTGAGGAACTGCCTGTGTAAAATAAAATGTTTGTAGAAATAATTTGATTGGAGAAGAATTTTTGATACTAGAAGAACATTTATTTATTTATTTTTTAGTCTACCTTGCCTTTATTTTCTAGTTAGGAGGAAGGCAAGTGGTTTAGTTCAGATTTAATGAGGGCAGTTATTCTAACTTACTGCCTTGCTCTCAGAGTTCACCCTAACTCATTTTAACAATAAATATGTGCTTGTTTATTGGGGCTTAGGGACAGGGAATAATTGCAGAAAAATCCCTACCATGTTCTGGAGAGGAGAAATATTTTCTAATAGGGAAATTGGATGAAAAATATCCATACTTAAATAAAGACTTTTTTGTGGTTTTTTAAAAAATGCTTAAGTATTTGTTAAAAGCCAACATGCTTTATGAAAATATACCTTCATTTAAATTTAATGAATGTTTATTCTTAAGTACAGATTTAATATGTGCTGTTTGAAATGAAATTTAAAGAATGAAGAATTGAAGACAGTGACTCTGCTTTGATTCCATTCCATAATCCCTGCCTCTTGTTGGAGAGAATGTCTATTTTTTGTTTACCTTCTTCCAGACCTTTTCCCACATATATACATGTACAGGCTTCTTTTTTTTTTTTCATCTTTTTTTTTCCCTAAACCAGTGACATAGTTAGGGACATTTTACAGACAATGTTTCAGAACTTTTATCACTTCTCATTTGTATGCAAATACTTGCAGATCTACATCTTTATTTATTTATTTATTTGAAAGGCAAAGTTAGAGAAAGGAAAGAGACCTTCTATCTGCTGGTTTATTCCCCAAATGTCCACATTGGCCAGAGCTGGGACAACCTGAAGCCAGGAGCCAGGCGCTTCTTCTGGGTCTCCAACTTGGATGCAGGGTCCCAAGTACTTGGACCATCTTCCACTGCTTTCTCAAGTGCATTAGGAGAGAGCTGGATCAGAAGTGGGGCAGCCGGGACTCAAAGCATATGGGATGCTGACACTGCAGGTGGAGGCTCTACCTGCACAGGGCTGGCCCCCTTTTTTTTTTAAAAATTAAAATATTAATTAACTTATTTATTTGAAAGATAGTTATGGGGGGAGGGAGACAGAGTGTGTCACTGTATGCAGATTTACATAATTTTTTTTTTTTTTTTTTTGGACAGGCAGAGTTAGTGAGAGAGAGACAGAGAGAAAAGTCTTCCTTCCGTTGGTTCACCCCCCAAAATGGCTGCCACGGCTGGCGCGCTGCACCGATCTGAAGCCAGGTGCTTCCTCCTGGTCTCCCATGCGGATGCAGGGCCCAAGCACTTGGGCCATCCTCCACTGCCTTCACGGGCCACAACAGAGAGCTGGACTGGAAGAGGAGCAACCGGGACAGAACTGGTGCCCCAACCGGGACTAGAACCCGGAGTGCCGGGCGCTGCAGGTGGAGGATTAGCCTAGTGAGCCATGGCGCTGGCCTGATTTACATCTTTATTTATAAATTTGTAAAGGTTTTATTTATTTATTTGAAAGGCAGAGTTACAGAGAGGCAGAGGCAGAGAGAGAGAGAGAGAGAGAGGTGTTTTCCATTCACTGGTTCACTCTCCAGATGGCTGTAATGATCAGAGCTGGGCCAATCCAAAGCCAGGAGCCAGGTTTCTCACATGGGTGCAGGGGCCCAAGAACCTGGGCCATCCTCCACCGCTTTCCCAGGCCATAGCAGAGAGCTGGATTGGAAATGGAGCAGCCGGGACTCCAACTGGTGCCCATATGGAATGCTGGTGCTGCAGGCAGCGGCTCTACCTGCTATGCCATAGCGCTGGCCCCTCATCTTTATTTTTAATAGACATGGTATTTCCAAGGATGAATGTGTTGTGATCCATTTAACTGTTTCCTTTATGAGTATTTTGATTATTCCCAGTATTTTGATATAGTATATTTACATTCAGCAAGTATTGGTTGATTGCCAGGCTGTGACTGTGAACAAAACATGAAAATTCCTGCTCTCATGTAGTTATCTTCCTTTGGAGATACATAAACATTTGGAAGTACACAAGCAGTAAACCAGTTTAAGAAAATGTCCAGTGCTGTTGAGGAATATTAAGATGGGAAAGGACATATGCAGTGAGGGAGGGTATGAGGTAGTCAGGAAGGTTGCACCAGGGAGTGACATTTGAGCAGAGAGCTAATGAAGGTGAAATCATGAGCCCTGAAGCCCTGGTAGGGGAAGAGAGGAAGAACCCATTCTAGGAATGGATGAAGTACTGTTTATTGCCCTGCGGTGGGCAGATGCTTGAAATGAAGAGGAAAGATCAATGAAGCTATGTGGCTGGAGTGAACTGAGCGAGGGGAGAGTGGGAGTGGATAAAGTCACAGAGCTGATGTGGAGTCAGGGCAGATTGCATTGGATTTTTTAGGCCACTAAGGATTCTTTTTACTTGAGTGAGATGGCAAACCTTTTCTGATCAGAGTTGATAATCTACTGTCTTAGCTGGAAGCAGGGAGCCCTTTTAGGAGGCTGTTGCAGCAGTCTTAGGAATCTTGGTGGCAGTTTGGACTGGGGTGGTGTCAGGAGAGATGGTGGGATGTGGTTAGATTCTGGATATTTTTTAAAGATGAAGTGAGAATAGCCAAGGATCACTCTGCAGTTTTGTGTGTGAATAATTGAAAAGTTGGAGGTGCCATGAAAAAAGATGAGGAAGACTGTAGTAGACAAGATTAGGAATTTGGCTTTGGGTAAGTGACATTTGAAAATTATTATTATTATACATCCAACTCAGAGAAAGAAACAGTTGGAATGTAAATTTGGAGTTCAGTGGAGAGGTCAGGGCTGCAGAGACAAAACTGGGAGTCATCCATTTATTAATGTATTTTAAAAGCTCACCTAGGAGTAAATTAGATAGAGAAGATTAGAATTCAGGGTTTTGTGTGGGCATTTCAAGATGAAGAGGCTGGGAAAGTGAGAAGGATGTAGCTGCCAGTGAGGTAGAAGGGAAACCAGGAGATGGGAAAGGAATCAGTAATGACAAGTGACAAGAGCTGAGCACTGCCGTCTGAGTTTAACAGTGTGCCCATACTGGTGACCTGGAACACGAGCAATTTTGAGTGAAAAGTAGGGTTCTGTTTGTAGGATTTCAGAAACAGTGGAAGGAGGGGAATGAGAGACACGATAAGCAATTGTTTCGAGGAGTTGATTCTATAAGGGGGCGAGAAAATGGTGCTTTACTTGGACAGAGAAATGAGGTTAAGATTAAAATCTAAGCTTAGAACCTTTTTAGGATGGCATGTCTTTGAATATTTTATAATTTTTTTCTGTGGTTAATTATGTATGTGGTTTATGTATTTCTTTTTAGTTTTGGTAACTGATACCTCCCTCCCCACTCCCTGCCCCAGAGCATCATTCCTTCCTCCACATTTTCAAATTCATTGGTTTAAAATTCTACATAAAATGGGCAAACATGGAGTCTTATTTGTATTTGCAGGATGTCCCTGTACTATATCTGGGAGGCAAATACTGGAGCTCTACTTCCAGAGGTCAGGAAAGTGGGCTCGTGTTTTCAGCTCTTATGGAACATGATCCTAGATTCTCATTTTCTTTTGTTTGTAAGATTCCTTGGCTCTGCTTCCTATCAGTTTGAAACTTTGCTCTTTAGCTTCTAGAATATCTATGTTGAGGTTGGCTAACGGGCACATGCCTTTCTTGTTTTCCAGCATTTCTATTTTTATATTTTTATGTTGGAGGGACTTTGGCAGGGATGAGAGCAAATTGACATTTTCAGTTGAGCTTTTGAAATGAGAAGTCACAATTCCTTTCTGTGTCACAATTCTTTTCTTTACCATAGTCTTTTGTTTAATTGCTAGTTGTATAGTAGTTGTAGTTACCTTACAGCTCAAGTAGTGATAGTCAGATAGACCTCACTTACCCTCCTCCTCCGTAAATAAAACCAGATGTTTCAGTGGAGTATACTCATGAGGAAGAAATGTTGATATATTGTGACTAAATATTCAGATATACTTTGAAAATTTAAAAGACATGGTCATAACATTAGAACTGTAAGGGACTTTACAAAATCATTAGAGCAGCTGCCTTATTTTATGGGTGAGGAATTTAAGGCCCAAGACACTGATTGATCTAAGGTGACAAAACCAGGGACCAAGCAGGACAGAAAGCCCAGGTCTCTACTTCTGTTCTGCTGTGCTGTCTGCTATTGTGCACGTTCTTGCTGTTCTCCTGAGCTATATAATGAAGGTATTTCTGTAATAAATCTTTTTTAAAAATAAAAATGTTACATATAGCTTGGATTGGTTCTGAAATTTGATCTCAGGTACTTTATTTAATACATTGTGTGGGTTTTGCTTTTTGTCATGTAAATATTAATTGTGATACATATGCGACTTAAAAGACTTGGCTGTCAGGATATGCTCAAGTCTAAATGAAAACCATATAGTTTATTTTCCCCAAGTTTCCTCTTTTCTACTTATAGACTTTATTTGATTTATGGACCCTTTGAATTTCTTATTAATATTTTAAAGAAGCTTAAGGAATATAAATATATATGAGACTTGAAAAATGATTTTAGTGATAGTCAGGATATTTCAGACTTAAGATTTTTAATTTTTTAGCCTAGTGTAACATGCTCCTAGATTAACACCTAAATTTAGAAGGGCTAAAATATATTAGCTTTAAAAAAAAATGTTCTGCTCATCATTTCTTCAGCAAACATTATGGGATGTATTTATCAAACTTTCATTACTTTGCTTGGTATTTAATTTCAACTGAAAGTTTTTAAAATGTAGGATTTTAATTACTGATATCTCATGTTTGGTATGTAATCATGTCTGTAATGCTTTCAAAGTGTTGACAATTTAATATGTATAGCATTAGTAGACTTTGGATTTTTCCTCTTCCCCCAGACAACTTAAGATGAGGGGAAGTTGGAATGTAGTTGCTCTAGAATTATATTCTAAGATTTGCTTAATTATTTTCAGGTTTTAACTTTTTTTTTTTTTTAAGATTTATGTATTTGAGAGGCAGAGTTACAGTCAGAGAGAGGGAAAGACAGAGAGAAAGGTCTCCCATCTGCTGGTTCATTTCCCAAATGGCTGCAACAGCTGGAGCTGGGCCGATCTGAAGCCAGGAGCTACGAGCTTCACCAAGAGTTTCTTTTGAGTCTCCCATGTGGGTGCAGGGGCCCAAACACTTGAGCTGTCTTCTACTGCTTTCCCAGGCAATACCAGAGAGCTGGATTAGAAGCTGGGACTCGAACTGTCATCCATGTAGGATGGATGACATGGTGGAAACTTAATCTACTGTGCCACAATGCAGACCCCAAGATCTTTTAGGGCTTTTGAAGTACGTGATTTGACCTTTGGATTGTTTTGGTAGAACAAGCTCTGTCTCCACAGTGAGGTTCTCAGTATGTAATTTTTTTTACAGCTGGTCACAATGGCAGGTGAAGAAATTAATGAAGACTATCCAGTAGAAATTCATGAGTATTTGTCTGCATTTGAGAACTCCATCAGCACTGTGGATGAGATGCTGAAGACCATGATGTCTGTTTCCAGAAATGAGTTGTTACAAAAGGTATTTTAAAAATGTAACTCTTCAACTTGAGTTTTGTAAAACTAAGTGTTGTGTTATGAATCATATGGAAGAAGACATAGATTAATGGTATCTGCTTCTTTCCCCTTTATTTTAGTTTTTATAAATGTGTATTTTTATGGGAAAAAAACACAAAACAAAAACTCCAGTCTTGAGGACTACCTCCTAACTATATTTTTATTTTGACTGAGTTTTGGAAAGAAAGGCCCTCTCAAAGCATTCTTTTTGACAGACTCTATCTTTGACCTTTTAAGTATTACAATGATGTTATCAGGGTTTCTGGAAACCCTATAGGACAAAAACAGTAAATTGACTTTGACAGTCTAAAACAAATCTCATTATGTTTCTTCTGTCTTTCGTATTGCCTGAGCATTTTAGCCTACTTCTTATACATAAATGCATCATGTACAATGTTTGTATTGATAAATTACTTTTGACATACAAAGCCCAGATTGTAACTACTGAGATTAAAATAATTCAAAAGAATTTTTCTTTATTATATACCTTCCTTGTCTAACTAAAGATGATATTCTTAAGTGAAAATTTGTGGGCAGAAATCACTGGCTAATAAAATTTCTTCTTTTTTGCAAATTATTTCCAGATCATTTGGTTCTTGAATTATAGAAAGTTAAAAAACAGTTCTTTGATACACTATGCTTGGTGAAAGTTTAAAATTTTATCTGATGGTGTTCAAAGTGTGTGAATATTTCTTTTTTCTTTCATCTCTCTTTTTTTTAACAGTTAGACCCACTTGAACAAGCAAAAGTGGATTTAGTGTCTGCGTACACATTAAATTCAATGTTTTGGGGTATGTATATTGCTTTGAAGTTAATTATAATGCAAATTATTTATTGTGTCAAAGATGATTTAATTTTTAATGCTGACAATATATATACGATTGATTATATGTTCTAGTAATTTTAGCAGTCAGATTTTTATTTCTTTTAAATCAGAATACTTGATGTGCGTGAGTCACAAATAAATTTAATGTTAGAGGTTGAATAATTTTTAAGATTTAATCATTCATTTGTATGACTTTCCATTTTTGTAACTAGAGTTTCTTTAATTGGAATGCTTTTATTAAAATATGTAACATTTTATTCCATGAAATCTTTCTTTTGTAGTTTATTTGGCAACTCAAGGAGTTAATCCTAAGGAACATCCCGTAAAACAGGAATTGGTAAGATTGTAGTTAGTTTTATCTTTACTTTACATGTCTTTTTGTGGTAGTATTCCTGAAGTCTAAGTCATACTACCTTTATCACACTAATTATGCAGAGCCAAATTAGGGTTGCAGTTGTGAAGGTAAGCCAGATCTTGTCTTGGTTTTTCTTTTACCTTTGTCGGAGAGTTGGTTTCCATGTATTATAAAAATCTCTGGATGAGAGAATGTTACGATTCTAGTAATTATTTATAACTTCCGTATTATTTTTCCTATAAATTCTTGAAATCCTGTTCATCTCTCATCTCTAGGACTACTACTTTTTTTTTTTTTTTTTAACTCTTACTCAATTCTTAAAGTATATTCTGGTTGATTTACTAGCAAAGACGGGAAAGTTTCTCCCCCACCTTTTCAGTTCTTCCATTAATTCATTTTCTCAGCAGTAAAGAATCCAGTTCAGCAACAAAGCTAAAAGCTTTTTTGGCACCAGTTGTATGTGTACTGTCCAGTAATTCTGCATTAGTGACATATTTACAACCTGTAATAAATCTTCTAGGTTTGTCTTTGTATCCCATTTAGATGTATAAGTATAGTATATAAGATCTGATACCCTAGAATTTTTGCTGACTTAAAAAATTAAATCTTTTACTTTTAAGGAAAAAATTAGAAATCAAACTTATGGTTACCTTCTTGGCTAGTTTTATGAATAAGAATATTAAATTTCTTTTTGTGTTTGTAAGATGCAATGTAAATATGTATGTGAAATACACGACATTGTATTCTTGTTCTCAAGTCTTATGGTAGTTGATATGTACCTTATTTACAACTTAGTAGAGTACTTGGTCATTTATTTTAAAAAAAAGAGTAAACTATCTCTGTTTTCTTCATTCTCTTTTTAAACCTGTAGACTAAGACATTTTCTTCCCCTAAAGTTCTTGAGGGAAAAATAAATTTCTTTCTGAATGCAGTATTTTTTATGAAAAATATTTAAAACAAAAATATAAAACAATTTGACACTCAAATCTTGGTTTGACAATAATATTGGCTTAAAACCTTAAGAAATATGGGTTTTGTCATCTGTTTTCAACTTTCTAATGTGAACCTTGCATTTATAAAATTCCTCTTTTTTTGTTTAACACAAAGAGAACTCAGAACTGTCTTTGTCAGAGGATAAGAACATTTGTCTTTCTTAGAACCCACTTTATAGTGGAGTACATTAATATTCTGGACTAAGGTTAGCAAATAAAAAGCATTCATAAACTGATTCTCCTTTTCTGACCTTGTGGCAGACATTACTAATTGATCACAGAGTTAGTGTGTGATAGGAAGCCTATTTGATAAATGGGGAAAGGCATTGAAAATAGTCAATTTATTCATTCAATAAATATTTGAATGCCCACTGGGAGCCAGGCATTATTTCCAAGTGAGCTGATTCCTCAGTAAATAAAGCTAAAGAATGTGGCAGATGCCAGACTGTGTATAATGGAGGGAGACAAACAATATATCTAATCAAATAAAGAGATAATATATATGAATATGTAGTATGTTAGGAAGTTATGTGTTACAGGAAAAAAGAAAAAATAGAGTATGGTCACGGGGATTGGAGCGCCTGGGTAGGATTGTAATTTTAAATGATGAAGTGAGGCCCTCATGGAGGGGGTGAATGTGAGCAGGCTGGAGGCAAGAAGAGGGCATGGCTGTAGAGGTATGTGAGGGAGGTCATTATTCCAGGCAGAGGAATAAGTGAGGCAAAGGCCCCGAGGCAGGCTGGGGTTGGGGTGTGCTACCCTTGGCATCTGCTATCGTAAAGACTACTCTGAGGAAGATGGGGAACTGTTAAAGGCAGAGTTCTGTATATGCTTTTGTAACTATTTTGATTATTTTAATAAAACTTGTCTTAAGCAGTAGTCAGTCATTTTAGTCTGCTGTCTTCTAATGGCTCTTATCAACCTTATTTCTCTATTTGAAGTATTGGATGACCATTTGTGCTGATTAATGGTCGCAGAAGATTCAGAGCGGTATTGGCAACATATTTTGTTTCTCATCTTCTGAAGTCTGATTAGAACTGTGTATTTTATTACGAAGTTTCATGCATTTATCAAAATTATGAAATTGAATAAAGGATCTTATATTTTTCATTCTTCCCGTTTTGATTGTAGATAGTATATAAACATAAATAGTTAAATGCCACTTCAAATATTTCCTATTTGAAAAAACTTCGGGAGAATTTAGTTTGGATGTCACAAGTGTATAGGCGCTCAGGTTTTAGATTATAGACGTCAGATATAAAACAGTTAATGTGTAGATTTAGGTGAATGCTAATTAAATATAACCATATATAAATAAGACAGTGTTTTTCTGTAGTGCTGTCTTAGAGTGGTTCTTTCTCTTTGGAACACTTCTGTCTGTCCACCCTCTTCTTCCCCTGCCACCCCTAGATTGTAAATTCTAGGAGAGCAGGGAACGGTTTATCACATTCACGTGAATTTACTAGCCCCATGTAATTAATAGGCAATAAATAACATATCTACTGAATTTAACTGAGATATAGTATAATAAAACTTAGTGGTGGTGAACAGTCCAGTAAATCCATTGCCTCTCTTTTCTTTCTCTTTTTAACTTTAAGGAAAGAATCAGAGTGTACATGAACAGAGTCAAGGAAATAGCAGACAAGAAAAAGGCTGGCAAACTGGACAGGGGTGCAGCTTCGAGATTTGTAAAAAATGCTCTCTGGGAACCGAAACCTAAGAATGCATCCAAAGTTGCCAGTAAAGGAAAAAACAAACATTAACTTTTTGGTTTTGGTATACACATATTCAAAATGTACATCATTTTTATTGTCATAACAAAATTTCTAATTATGTGGCAATGCAAGGCTTAAATGTATTCCTTGTTGAATTTATATGTAAATGTGTACTTCAGATTTGTAATGCAAAAATACTTTTCTGCCAGAAAGATTCTTTATTGATTTTTCCTATAGAGCACTCTGAGGTTTTAATGTTGTGATCTATTTTATATTTATAGTTTACCATCTCTTTTGATGACACTTATTTCCTTATGTAGGTCAGTCTTGCAAGTACCATTTTATAAACAACTAAAATTTAAGTTAAATGTTCTTTGTAAACATTTACACTATTTTAAATGAATAGTGACCTTATGAAGTATGTTATCGCTGGGCTGAATTTATAAGTACATCTATTTTTACAATGTGATATTAAGAAAGAATGAAATGACTTAATATCCTTTTTTTCTCCTGTGTAGTTAATTTATCATGTTTTCATGATTTTAGGAATTAATTGCTTTTTTTGATATTTGGAGTGTGAAATTAAAACTTTAAGGTTGTACTTTAATTTTTGGCACATTGCCTCAATGTCCCATTTAATATAAAATACATTCTCATTAACATTAGATGGGAAATAAGGTTGTATGTTGGTGACTGAATTTTGACAAAATGGTTATACTCTCTTAAAAAGTCTGTAAATGTTGTATAGCTGACCTGTTTTGTTTTTGTTGTATTTAAACTTACTTTTTAAATCAGAGTGTGTAGTGCTTATAGTTTTCTTGGTCTCACTTTTGATTTTTCAATTACATGTTTTGAGGCTGTATCAAGTATGTACAAGTGTTTTGGAACAACTCTGTATGTTACATAATGCTGCTTAAGCAGAAGAGAATGCCAAAGGAGATCACATTGTGCTAATATTCTGATTTGTTTCTGAAATATTTGTTACAAAGAATTGTACATGTTAAATTCTTTAATGCCTGTCTGTGATGTTTAATTATATACCAAATAGTTTCAGTCTTTGAATTCACATCATTATGTATAAGAATGCCAAATACAGTAAAGTACTATAATTTTGAAAAAGGATTTAAGATTTTCGTGATTAATTCTCCATAAGTAACCTTGAATAAATGGATTTCCTGATTTATTGTAGCAGATATTGGAAATGATCTTAAAATGTAATGGGTTTTGTAAAGCATGTTGAACTCTTTCTGTGACACACAAAGAGGAAGTCACTTATGGATGCAGAAAGTCTTTTCTCCTCTGGTGTCAGTTTTTGAAGTGGAAGAACATTTTTAGTTATTTTACACCTTTTTTTTACTTTCTTCTCAAATTTCTAGCTGTTTTTATAGTAACTTTTTTGACAAAAATAAGTGTAATATCAAATGTGGTTTCAATATCTTTGTTATTTATTACAAAGAATCTTAGAAGTTGAATTTATGTATATTTTTAAGTTTCATATGAAAGGTTAAATGAAATATATCATACAGTTACAGAAAATTATTAGCCCAATGTTTAGTTTGTGAAAGTTCAGCTCTATGTTCTATTACATTGGATATTCTTAAGTGAATAGTTTTTTGTGTTTATTAGTAGAAATAAAAAAGTTTGTGTATACTCCATTATGTGTCATTTTATGTATTTAAAGATTTGGTTTATTTATTTGAAAGGCAGAGTTACACAGTGAGTGAGTAAGTGAGTGAGTGAGATATCCACTTTCTATCTGCTGGTTTACTCCCCAGATGGATTGGGCCAGACCAAAGCCGGGAAACTGCAACTCCATCTTGGTTTCCCATGTGAGTGCAAGAGCCCAAGCACTTGGGCCATCTTCTGCTTTCACAGCCACATTGGCAAGGAGCTGAATCGGAAGTAGAGCAACTGTAACCCAAACTGAAGCTTATATGGGATGCCAGCATTGTGGATGGTGGCTTAACCCACTGTGCCCCGTTTATTATGTATAATTTAAAGTAGCCTACAAGAAGTAGCTGAATGATGATAGTGCATTTTGTTGTTTATTTGTTACTTATTCATTCCCCAAATGTGCTTTTTTTTTTTTTTTTTTAAGATTTATTTATTTATTTGAAAGGCAGAGTTAGAGAGGCAGAAGCAGAGGGAGAGACAGAGAGAAAAGTCTTCCCTCCGCTGGTTCACTCTCGAAATAGCTGCAATAGCTGGAGCTGAGCTAATCCGAAGCCAGGAGCCAGGAGCTTCTTCCGAGTCTCCCAGATGTGGGTGCAGGGGCACAGGCACTTGGACATCCTCTGCTGTTTTCCCAGGCACATTAGCAGAGAGCTGGATCAGAGGTAGAGCAGCCGGCTCTCAAACTGGCACCCATATGGGATGCCTGCACTGCAGACAGCAGTTTCACCTATCATGCCACAGTGCTGGCCCTTTTAAAAAGATTTATTAATTTGAAAGGTAGAGTGACAGAGAGGGAGAGACAGATATCTTGTGTCTGCTATTTACTCTACAAATTGCCATGGTGGTCCAAATGGGCCCATGCCAAAGCCTGAAGCCAGGAACTCCTTCCAAGTCCCCCCTCTGGGTGTCAGGGATCCACTTGAGCCATCTTCTGCTGCCTTCCCAGGTGCCTTAGCAGGGAGCTGAATCAGAAATGCAGCAACATGGGATGCAGTGTTGTAGGCCATGGCTTAAACTACAATGCCAGCCCCTCCACAGATATACTTAATGACATTTACACAAGGATATTTCAAAAGTTCATGGAAATTGTATATGAAATGTACATGCAAATGTACATGTAAATGAAAAAACTGTAGATTTCAAAATTTTTCAGCAAAATAGATGTATCTTTTAATGTCATTTGTCCATGAACTTTCTGAAGTACTCTCATATTGCCAAGTGCTGTGTAGGCACTAGATTCCAAAGGAGATAACCAGCCTCTTTAATCAATTGAGTTCTTAAGAGTTACTGGAAAATTTATGAGAAATTTTACTCATTAACCTTAGAACCATAAAAGGTGATGGGTTGATCTGTCTTAACTGTGGTACAGTTATTGTTAACATAGTTTATTTCAGGTGACAGTCTGCTCTAAGTTTAGATGTTAATTACATCTTTTTATTAATTTCTTTGGGGATTAACAAGTTGGAGAGGTTGCAGCTATAGGTATTTCTATGAACAGAACTGTAGACTATTTAATACTAAATAATGAGATCTTTTAGTATTAAAGTATAGTTTTCTTTTTGTTCATAGTGGCAGGATGGGAATTCATTTTAGTAAGATGTTCAGAGAAAAATTGAAGTTTGAATTATGGTTGACATTCCTGGAATTAGGAGGTTATGTCAAGTTGCAGATTAAAAAGTTATTCTACTTAGCTATTAAAAATGAATTGGTATTTTTTTTCTAAATAAGGCTTTTAAAATTGGAAATATAGGAAATGTTTAAAAAAATGGGACAGTATTGAATGGATACATTGTTCTGAAGTAGAAGTAGGTCATTGGAGCAAAAGATATTTAAGAATCACCCAGTTTGAATACATTATAATTTTAGGCAATAAACTCTCAGATCTTCTTTACAAAGTCACAATCACTGAAAAATTTCCACAGTGATTCTAATCCTTGTATGATAGTTAAGTTTGGTATAGAGAAGAAAAAGAAACACTCATGTCCCATTTTCTCACTTCTTCACAGTTACAGTAAACTTGCTCCAATATAGTAGGTCTTACCAAATGCTCTTGGCAGCAGCCTATTTTATATAAATGTGCTGTGAATATATTTTACTATTACCAACATTTCTCTTTCCCTATATCCTCCCCTAAAACTCTTTAGTTTGGGAAATAGAAGCCATCCTGTGTTTAGTTTATATATTGATGTTTTATCATTGTCATTAACAGTTACGTTAAGGAGAAAGTGTGCAGGACTTTATAATCCTATGGATTTGTTTTACTTGATTAGTTTACCTGTTGCTTGGTAATGGGATCTTTTTTTTTTTTGACAGGCAGAGAGAGAGAGAGAAAGGTCTTCCTTTTTCTGTTGGTTCACCCCTCAATGGCTGCTGCGGCCGGGGTGCTGTAGCTGGCACACTGTGCTGATCCGAAGCCAAGAGCCAGGTGTTTCTCCTGGTCTCCTGTGTGGGTGTAGGGCCCAAGCACTTGGGCCATCCTCCACTGCACTCCTGGGCCACAGCAGAGAGCTGGACTGGAAGAGGAGCAACCGGGACAGAATCCGGCACCCCAACTGGGACTAGAACCCGGGGTGCCGGCGCTGCAGGCGGAGGATTAGCCTAGTTAGCCGTGGCGCCGGCTGGTAATGGGATCTTAAGAAAGAGCCTTGAATGTTTTTGGTTTGCAGATTCATTTTCCTAGCAAGGTGAGCTAACATTCATGGACTACTATGTGGAAAAGTTACCCTGGACTTGATGTACTGTTTTCAAAGAGCTTTTTTTATGGTGTAATTTTTACCATAGCCAGAAAGATAGACTGGCTATCCAGACAAGGGATAGCTATAGTGATGGCTATTGGCAATACCAACAAGCTCTGAGTTACCTACCTGTTCTTGAAAGGTTGAAGGAAAATCTTTTTTCTCAATAAATCTTGAAGTTTGTATCATGGCAGCATCACTGCATGCAAGATGTCAGTTGTGTGAAGTGATATATTTCAAACGGTATACAAATTCTGATGGTGAGAAAATAAGCTTTTATAAATGAAACATTTATTATTTGCTTTTCAGTTTAGTGTTTCCTTTAAGGCACACCATTTCAGTTCGGCAGCTACAATAAGTGACTGAAGGAAATTGAAGATGATAATTCAACCTTTCAAGATGCTTCTGCTGAAATGAATGTGGACCTGCGCAGAGCTTGAATCTGAAGTCTATAGTATTACAGTGTTCTCAAGCCACGTACCTAAGAAATTCATGCTGTGATAGGATTTGAATGAGATGATTAGGGGAAATAGAAACGAATACCTTCCATCCTTTGTTATGTAGGTATTATCTATTGTGATGCTCTTGAAAAATGTTGTTACAAAAAGAATAGAAGCTTGACAGACACAATTTATTGCAGAGCATAATTCCTTTTAGTCCTCCAAAATGGTTTAGTTATTAAAATAATAAAAGCAGAATTATATCAAGAAATCACCTCTGATTTAGACAATGGATTGCCCGTAGACTGTGTGGTAAGGGATCTGGCTGGTGTCCTTTTGTTTGTCAGTTTTAATTCAACTGGAATCATTTACAACCTTAGTTCTGATACTTTCTGTATTATTTTTCCCTTAAGGAAGAAATCGGTATTTGAAAGTGTATATAGTAGTTGCTGGCTTTTGACATTTATGGCTTTTAACCTTTGTGAGTGACTTTTGGAGGTCCGTGGAGTATATAGTATTTTGTGATTTTGCCAAGGTGCAATTTTAATTCCCACTAAATTCCATGCAGGAAGGCCTGACTCAGCTAATGATTTAACCTAGCTAACTTCTCAGTATTCAGTTTTTTTCCTTCACTTGCAGTCTCTCTTATTTATTCACTCATTCCTTCAGTGTTTGTTGAACTCCTGTGTGCCGGGTTCTGCTGTAGGCACAGGAGATTGAGCAGGGATCCAAATAGCCTGGTGGGGGCTGGGAGATGTCCAGCTTTTTATCATGTGGAAACTGGCTGCTGTGTTCCCCTCAGCCTCATTTATTGAAGTCCTAAGCTTCAGTACTTCAGAATGTAACTGTATTTAGAAATGGGTTTGTTGAAGATGTAATTAGTGGATATGCAGTCCTTAGGATGCGTCTTAATGCAATATGACAAGTGAGCTTATAAAAGGGAAATTTGGCGACACAAACAGGATACAAGAACACTTGAGGAAGACAAAGGAAGAGATTGGGGTAATGCTTCTCTTTGCTAAGTAAGGAACACCAAAGATTGCCTGCGGAGCACCAGAAGCTGGTGGAGACCAGGAGCAGATTCTCACAGCTCTCGGAACCAACTCTGCCAACCCAGGGCAGTGGACTTCCGGCCTCCAGAAGTGAGATGATGCATTTCTGTTGTGTAAACCATCCTGTTTGTGGTACTTTGTCATGGCAGCTCTAGCAAATACAAATACAAATGCCATTAGGTGAAGGGGAAGCTGTTAAAAACATCAGTAACTTCAATGTAAATGTAGTATAAGAAACTTTGATAGGGGCCAGCACTGTGGTGTAGTGGGTTAAGCCTCTGCCTGTAGTGCCAGCGTCCCATATGGATGCCGGTTGTGTCCCGGCTGCTCCTCTTCCGATCCAGCTCTCTGCTATGGCCTAGGAAAGCAGCAGAAGATGGCCAAGTACTTGAGCCCCTGCACCCACTTGGGAGACCCAGAAGAAGCTCCTGGTGAAGCTCTTGGCTCCTGGTTTCTGACTGGCTCAGCTCTGGCTGTGGTAGCCATTTGGGGAGTGAACCAGTGGATGAAAGACCTCTCTCTCTCTGTCTCTGCCTCTTTCTGTAACTCTGCCTCTCAAATAAATAAATAAAATCTTGGAAAAAAAAAAAAAAGAAACGGACAAAGACAATAAACATAATTCTGAAGAAAACCAGGAACTTTTGTAACTTACTCTGTAATATTTTTGAGTCTGGGTAAAGATCTCAGGACTTAGACCTTGAAATGTCAAGGGTCTGTTAGACTCATTCTGAAGCCCAGTGTTCAGACCTGCGCC